CTTTTTCTTAAGTCTGATCTGTGTCAATGTCACGGAAGTTTTTTAAGAATTAAAAAAAGTTTCCAGAAGTTTCCAGAAGCATGCAGAAGCTTCCAGAAGAAGCATCTGGAAGCATCCAGAAACAGTCAGAAGCATCCAAAAGCTTCTAGAAGCATCAAAAAAAAGCATCTAGAATCTTCCAGAACAGGGTCACACAGGTTCATTTTACTATATAAGAGACATTTAAACCGACATGTAATTCAGTCAGTATATGGAAGTCAATCAGTCAGTATTATCAAGACAGTTTATCGAAGTGAGTTTTATCAAAGTGTTTTATCGAAGAACATCAATACAAGAAGTGAAATACAACAAGTGTTTCATTACATCAATACAGTCCACATCCAACCAAGACGTTGTGTTCCAGAGCATTATTGTGTCATCACAAGGTAAATGTAACACGGTAAGCCTTTAGAAGCGTGATTATTTATTTTTATTATTTTTATGACTTCAAGTGCAAAAATGGCTCCCAACAGTCTTGAATTGGAACTAAGAAAGAAAATTATTGGCGATTACGTAAATGGAATGTCACAAAAAAGTATTTGTGATAAATATCGCGTGAAAAAATAGACCGTATCAAGACTATGTTCCAAATATCGTTCTACTGGGAAGTTAGCAGCAGGTAACAAAGGTGGAAGACTGCATTCCACTACTTCTAGAGAGGATTCTATAATCGTCAGATCCGTCAAGAAGGATCCCTGGATATCATCAGTCCAGATATGAAAGCAATTAGAGCTGCCTGTATCGGACCGAACAATCAGACGACGTGCTGTTGAAGCCGGATTGTTTTCTCGACACCCTGCAAAGAGACCGCTGATTTCACTAAAGAACCAGAAGAAAAGACTCCTGTTTGCTACATCTCATATTGACTGGAATGTGCAGAAATGGCGAACTGTCCTGTTCACTGATGAATCGAAGTTCAACATTATTGGGAGCGATGGCATTTGCCGTGTACGTCAACCGGCCGGAAAACGCCTCAATTTACGTTACTGCCATAAAACCGTGAAGCATGGTGGAGGCAATGTAAAGGTCTGGGGGTGTTTTTCTGCTAACTGTCTAGGTCCAATACATCGAATCGATGGAATAATGGACCGTTTCATGTATAAAAATATCCTGAAAGATGTTATGTTACCTCATGCTGAATGGAATATGCCAATAAAATTGAGTTTTTCAGCAAGACAACGATCTGAAACACACTGCAAAAGAAGTCAAACAGTGGTTTCAAGACAACCACCTATCAGTGATGGATTTGCTGCCCCAATCTCCGGATCTCAACCCTATCGAGAACCTGTGGGAGATTGTCAACCGCAGAATTGATCGTGAAGGTGTTCGTAATAAGGATCAACTATTTGAACAAATCCAAAAGGCCTGGGCAGCGATTCCACAAAGTTTCATTGATCACCTGATCGAATCTATGCCTCGAAGATACAAGACTGTGATTGACAACAAAGGATTCGTCACTATATATTGATAGCGAAATACAGCTTGGTCAACATTTTTTGGAGTTGCACTTGTTTTGTCGAGAAGGAAATCAACTTTTTTTGAAACTTTTGATTAATTTATTATTTTTCGTGTACAAATAATGAACTTTGTGATAAATAAAACTTGAAGAACGTTGTCTCTAAACAGTTACATAGTTATTTCTCTAAATTGAAAAAATGCAGCACTTTATAAAGAAACTAAATTAGCATTGTTTGGTTGCACTTGTTTTGTCCGATACTGTATATATATATATATATATATATATATATATATATATATATATATATATATATATATATATATATATATATATATATATATATATATACAGTACTGGACAAAAGTCTGAGACCAAGGGTTGAAAAAGACTAAAAACTGATTTTAACCATATAATTTTATTCAATGAACAACCATGTCAATTTTTTCCAATATAATTCATATTACTAGGAATAAGTACAACATACTTTGTGAAATAAAGCACAAAATGTCCATGTCATGTCAGTATTTTATGGGCATTCCTTTAGCCGCTAGCACAGCAGTAATTCTCCTGGGCATAGAATTGATCAAATTTTCACAATAAGCAGGAGTGATTTCATTGGACCAAACCAACATTATCTTTTTTTTCAAATCATCATATGATGATGACTTTAAAGCGGCTACCTTTTTCTTTAACAGATGCCAGCAATTCTCTATTGGATTCAAGTCAGGCAAGGATCTCGGCCAAGGAGAAAGTACCTGAATATTTTTCTCAGCAAGCCATTTAGTAATCACCTTTGCCTGGTGACATGGTGCACCATTATGCTGGAAGATTGTACAACCAGAAAGAAGCAGCCACTGAAGCAAATTGCTTTTCAAAATTTTCAGATATTCATTGGCATTAATGGTGGTTTTAGGAGGCATGAACCAAATACCTGCTTGTCCTCTGGTTGAAATTGAAGCCCAGACCATGATTGATTGGCACTGTTTAACATTGCATTTGGTGTAGTTGGGATTTAGTCGCTGATTAACAGGTCTATAAACAAAAGAATGAAGAGGAACAAACTGCTTTATTTGACTTTCATCTGAAAACATTACTCGCGCCCAATCCAATGCTGTCCAGTCTTTGTGCTTTTGACAAAAGGCAATCCGATCCTTGATGTTCTTGGCAGAAAGCCTAGGTTTAATAGAAGGGCGCCGGGCATGCAGGTTGAAATCAGAGGATAGTCTTCGTCTGATAGTTCTGGAGGAAACAGTAACAGGGGATGGCAAGTTGTGTTGTATTACTGTGGATGATGACATTGGAGAATTAGTACAAGTGCGATGAATCAAGCGGTCAGTCTGCATAGAGGTACATTTTGGTCTACCAGACCTTTTTTGGGAAGTTAAGCTGCCAGTCTGCTGCAATCGAGTTATTGTGTTATGAACTGCAGTTTTAAAAACAGACAAACATTCAGCAATGCTTCTCTCGGTGTATCCCTCCTCTTTTAAAATACTAATTTGTGCTCGAACTGATATTTGTAACTCACACATTTCAGTGAAAGAAAATTAATGCTAAAATCATACTACATATATGACAATTGTATTACTCATCAGTTTTCCTCACATCATCAATAAATTGCTGTGTTCTGAATTATGTTGAATTACTAATATGAATTATATTGGAAAAAATTGACATGGTTGTTCATTGAATAAAATTTTACCACTTTGACGGATTAGAATTTTTGACATTCCTTTTACAGAAAAGGCTACCCAGACCAGGAGCTTGGGTTCATACTTTCGCTTTGTATAATATTTGACACTAGATGGGCAGAGGTTTATGTCACTTGTGTAGAAGTTATCGTTTCCGTTGATTGATGAATGAGAAAGAGTAAAATAAGATTTATCATCAATGATCCAATCAAATTTGCTAAAAGCTCGATATAATCTACCACACTTTGTTTTTGCCATCAGTTTTTGATCATTAGTTCGATGTGGAATCTTTTTCATCTTTCTTTTCTTGATCTTTGATTTTGTCTGAATAATTTTATGGGCATAAGAAGCTGATATTCTAAATTTTCTACCTGCTTTCCTATAAGAAACGCCATCATGATTAAACATTGATTTTAACGCTTGTACTTTTTTTTGGGTCATTTTTAGAGCTTTTTTTCCTGAACCAGGACGTCTAAGATATCCAGAATCGTCATCAGCACGTTTAATTATATCATAGATGGTCGATCTGGCAATTTTTTCTTTTTCTAAATGATCTACGGTGTACTTTTTGCCTTTTTCTTTATTTTCAATATAGAAGTTGTACACACGTTTTCGAGTGTCGTCTTGTTTAGGTTTCATTTTCAATTTGAATAATCATTCAATCTAAATATAAATGTAGCATATTAAAGATAAATTTAAACGCTTTAAAATAATTTATCACATGGTACAATTGCAATACATTATGTCAGATTTATATTGACTTAAAGTCAGTCCGGATTTCAAGTGAACACCCGTTATATATATATATATATATATATATATATATATATATATATATATATATATATATATATATATATATATATATATATATATATATATATATATATATATATATATATATATATGTATATATATATATATATATATATATATATATATATATATATATATATATATATATATATATATATATATATATATATATATATATTAGTTTGAGCAAAATAAAAAGAATCGGTTATAACATTCAAAAAATTGTTTTAATTTTTCAAATGTATTTTTTTTAAATGTTTAATATCATTAACTGAATTTTAAATAATAGATTTAATAAGAAGACAGAATTTACTAAGAAAAAGATTTATGACTATTATCAATTTATTTTATCATAATAGCATTTTCTTAAGAAACTAATTTTTTTTTAAGAAACCAATCAGTTAGTCCTATCTAAAACATTTGCATTTCAGTTAGCGCTTTTTTTCCCTGAAATAAGGGGTCGTTCATTAAATACGCACGCTTTTTTTTAAAATTTTCCCTTTTTTTAACTTATGTTAGCAAAAAATTAGTCCATATGAAGCTCAAACTTAGTTTTTTTTATTCGATTGCACAAGAGTTTTTATTTTTCTATCAATATCTAAAAGTAGAGAGAAAAAAATAGTGGTTTGTATTTATGAAAAAATTGTACTTTTGCGAGAGCTGTAAACTGCTCCCGTAAATCACTTTAGGCCTAAAAGGAACTTTTATCCTGGTCATCAAGTTTGATCCCAAAGTAACTTTGATATGCACCTCTTGACTAAATTCTTTCTTTCTTGATTTTTGATAGTGAACTTTCCACAAACGTAACAAAAATTGTCCGGATGATTAAAACAAGCTCAAATCCTTCTTTTCATTACGATTAATTAAAAAAAAATCGCATGTAGCTTTGGTTACTAACTAATAATATTTACAGTATAGTAACTATTAATATTTACAATAATATTCACATGGAAATCCATGTAGCTATGTTTACTGACTATAGTAATATTTATTTACAGTTAGCGGAAATGCATGTAGCTTTGGAGCAAGAGCGTTCTAAAGTATCTGCGTTAAAATCAGAAGTCAACAAATATCAGGTTTTTCAAGTTGTTTTTTTTTTCTCAATATTTAAGGGAGAGTGGGGCAACATTAAACACTTTTGGTTTTTGTTTCAAAACTTTTTTTATTTTACAGAGTTTTTTTTTACGCGATTAGTGCAATTTGTAGATTAAACTACCTACAAAATTAAATTCATTAATAATCGTGGGGTAAATTCATTAATAATCATGGGGTACAAGTTGTGAGCACTTTTAGAAAAGTAAATAAAAAGCACAATACTTAGAAAAAAAGCGAATTTTTATTTGAAAGACAAACAAATTAATAATTATGCCCAAAATAATGCATCCAACGGTCCGAATCATACTTCAGAAATGATATATTTTTTAAAATGAAATGAAGTACTATTATACAGTTTTTACTATAATTGCAATGTTTCATGATGCCCCGTGTATTATGATGCCGCACTCTCCCCTAAAAATATTTTTTTAGTTATTTATTTTTTTATAAATTTTTATTTTAGATTTCTCGTACCAAAACAAAATCAATATGTGAAGAAAAGTAGATTTCTATATATATATATTAATATTATTATTTTTAATAACATGATGAAAAGTTAAATTTCGTTTTGTTCTTTTTTTTTTAAAAAAAATTGTCAAGCTTGTTAGACTTTTTTACTGACATAAAAAATGAAAACTACTTCCTGAAAAACTATCGATCTATTTCACTAACCTAGGTTGGGTGCAAAATATTTGAAAAAGTTCTAAAGAATAAAATCTTAAAGCACATCAACGATAACAATCTGCTCTCTACAAATCAACATGGCTTCCTTCATCATAAGTCTTGTGTAACCAATCTAATACAGACTTAATATTATTTCGTCTTTCCTAGGCTCTCAAATTATATAAAACCACACCTTGTTTATAAAACCATACCTTGAATATTCAGTGTCTGCTTGGGCCCCGTATTTAAAATCTGACGTAGTTTTGCTAAATCTGTTTAACGTAAAGCTACAAAATGGGCTTTAAGCTTGAGAAATTTTCAATACTACGAAAGATTCAATCTACCATCACTTGAGTTTCGGCGCCTACGATGCGATCTTATCCAAATTTTCAGACTAATACATCGATTTAATATAATTAATAATATATATCAACCAAAATTTATTAACTAATTGTCACGTGGTCACCATCTTAAAATAAGACGTGAATATGTTCCAAATTGTCTTCCAAGACACAACCAACTATATAATAGATCAGCAAAATACTGGAATGAACTACCCGAACAAGTAAGTTTATACTCAACTGTACTTTCTTTTAAAATTAGATTAGATCACTGGTTGAGTATAAAATTAGTAGCGAATACTTATAAAACTGTTTGTTTATATAAACAACCAGTTTTATAAGTATTCGCTACTAATTTTATACTCAACCAGTAATAATAATAATTGAAGCTGTGTTCTTGAGAGTTTCAAGAAAGAATCTAACAACTGTAGATGTTAGATTTTAACAACTGTTTTTCGCTAAACTTTTTAAGTTTATTTTTAAAATCAATTACTGAATTAGCGTTAACAACTTCACTGTCCAAACGATTCCAATTTTCAACTATACGGTTCGTGAAGAAATGATGCCTCGGCAAAAAGTTTTGAACATACTGCCTTCGCAACCTTTGATTGTGTCTTCTAGTTAGCCTACCCAATACTTCTGGTTCACGGTGCCAATTGATAGTATCAATTTTGTTCATGAGTTTGTACATTTGGATAAGATCACCTTTTTTCCTTCTATTTGATAGATTTTGTAAGTCCATTTTCTCTAATCTTTGCTCGTAACTGTTTCTTTTTTTTGTAGCCAAATTTTGTAGCTTTTTGCTGAATTTTTTCTATTAAGTTTATATCTTTAATAAAATATGGGTTCCACACTTGAAAAGCATATTCTAAGTGTGGCCGAACGAGTGACATATATAACAATTTTGTTGATGTTTCATCTGGATAGATGATTGCGTGCTTTAACATACCCAATTTTTGATTCGCCTTACCATTTTTTCAATGTGGTCTTCCCATTTTAAATTGTCTGAAATATAAACACCAAGGTCTCTTTCCAATGACGTTACTATTAGTCCATATTGAATAATCTCTGTTTCTGTAGCATTATATTTTAAATTATACTTTATTTTCGGATTATCACGACCAAAATGCATGATTTTACATTTATCTTTATTAAAACTGATAAGCCATCTTTTAGTCCAGTTAAATAAGATGTCAAGATCAAACTGTAGAGAGTTATTTATTTTATTTTTTTCTAGAACTGCAATTATTTTTAAATCGTCTGCATATAGTTTTGCTTTATTATTCAACTTTTTTGTTAAATCATTTATATAAATTATAAAAAGTAAGGGTCCTAAGACCGATCATTGTGGTACCCCACTACGAACTGTTTCCCTTTCTGATTCAAACAGTCCCAAAACAACTCTCTGTTTTCGATTTGCTAAAAAAGCTTTACACCATTGCAACAATTTTCCGACAATACCAAATGACTTAAGTTTCAAGAGCAGCCTGGAATGCGGAACTGAATCAAATGCCTTAGAAAAATCTAAAAAGGCAACATCAACACATTTTCCACAATTTATTGCTTCTGTTATTATGTCTAATGTCTCGAGAAGGTTTGTTACACAATTTTTTGATTTAATGAATCCGTGTTGTTCTGGTATTAATAACTTATTTTTATTTAAATGGTTCATTATTGTATCCTTAACAATACTTTCCATTACTTTACAAACAACAGAGGTCAATGAAATTGGACGGTAGTTACCTGCATTCAACCTATCCCCATTTTTAAAAATTATTCGCTTTTAACCAGCTTGTAGGCAATGTTCCAGTTAGAAATGGTTGGTTAAATATCATACAGAGTGGTCTAGCTAAACTGTCAGCACACTTACTTAAAAAAATTGGATGAATTCTATCGATACCTGGGGACTTGTGCACATTTAGATTCAATAATCGTTTTTTAATATCTTTCTCATTAAACAATGGGGTTGGGCAAATTTTTTCTGTTATATTTTCACATGTAGGCATATTAGTTAGGCTTTCGTTTATGAATACAGAATTGAAAAACCGATTTAACTGATTAGCAATAACTTGACTGTCAGTTCATATTTCATTGTTTTCAATTGAAATTGCTCTTATATGGTCTTTAGCTTTTAGTTTACTGTTAATATAAGCATAAACTTGTTTTGGATTTTTTTTTTGATTCTGTTGCAATTTTATTTTCATATTTTTGTGTTGTAATCTTTACAAGTTTTTTAACTAACTTATTTTTTAGTTTATATTCTTCCTTAAGATCTAAATTTTTGAAATGAGAGGCTTTGTATCGATACCAAAGGTTACGCTTAAGTCGAATTTCGTGTTTTAATTCTTTATTTAAATATTTTGAAAATTCATTATAATTTCCTTTCATGTATACTCGCTTTGTAGTAATACTTTCATTTTTGCGATTATGTAATTGATAATTAAAATGAAAATTTAAAACATGATGACCTCTTTTTGTTTTCCCCAAAGGATCCATATGTACCAAGCTGGATATGCGAAAAGGAGAAGCTGTAAATACTAAATCTAATATATTTGTTAATTTTGTGTCATTTAATTGAAATGTTGGTTTTTTTACATGTTGTGTGAGATAACATTCTTCAATGCATTCTAGAAATTGTCTCTCTTTTTCTCCAATGCAGACACTTTCATAACTAGAATTCCATATACTATTCAAGGATGGAAAATTGAAGTCACCACATATCAAAACCTCAGTATATATTTTAGTTTTTGAGAAGTAATTGTAACTTTCTTTAATAGAATTGATTACATTTTGAAAGTTTACTAAATCATCACTTCCTGGTCTATAAATGCGGCCACATAATATGCATTCATTGCTTATTTTAATGGTACACCATATCTGCTCAATATTTTTATTATTATAAGGTTCATTATTGACTTCAAATGAATCAATTAGGTCATTTACATAAATACAGACTTTACCACCTCTGCTATTCATTCGGTCTTTGCGATAAAGGTTATAACCAGGTATAATTGTTGCTGAAGTATCATTCCACCATGTTTCTGTTATGAAAATTATATCTGGAGAGCTTATTGTGATTACACTTACAGTGATCTAATCTAATTTTAAAAGAAAGTACAGTTGAGTATAAAGTTACTTGTTCTACTACTATAATCATAGTAAGGTGTTTTCCTACTATAATTATTTTGTGTTTTCCACTATAATTATAGTTGATGTTTTCCCTGCTGTAGCAATGTATGTATATATTGTATGTATATATATATATATATATATATATATATATATATATATATATATATATATATATATATATATATATATATATATATATATATATATATATATACATTTTATTCATATTATTATACATATTATTCATATATATACATATTATTCATATTATTATTTAGAAAATAATATCCGGGTAATAATAATGATAATCGATTTTTTAAATAATATACATTTATGTATTATTTTTAGAATTTTATCAAAAAAATATAGCAGCAGTATTCCGCAATATATAAATCCGCACTTTTTTTCACATCATAAAATATATATTTTACGACTACAACTACAGCCGCTTGCTCTATATTTCCGCTCTATATTTCTACTCTATAATTGCTCTTTATTTCTGATTATTCAGAAAATAATATCCGGGTAATAATAATGATAATGTATTTTTTAAATAATATACATTTATGTATTATTTTTAGAATTTTATCAAAAAAATATAGCAGCAGTATTCCGCAGTATACGAATCCGCACTTTTTTTCACATCTATCTTAAATTATTATTATTATTTTAGTTGTAGCCGTAAAATATATATTTTACAAATCCGCACTTTTTTTCACATCTATCTTAAATTATTACTATAGTTGTAGCCGTAAAATATATATTTTACGGCTAAAACTATAATAATAATAGTTTAAGATAGATATGAAAAAAGGGCGGATTTGTATACTGCGAAATAATGCTGCTATATTTTTTTGATAAAATTCTAAAAATAATACATAAACGTATATTATTTAAATAATACATTATCATTATTTTACCCGGATATTATTTTCTGAATAATCGGAAATATGGAGCAATTTCAGTCTAAGTTGTAAGAGAAGAAATTATTAATTATGACAAATTGCTATGTATCATTTAAATTAACACTTATTTGTTATGCTTAGATTAAATTGGGGTCATTGCTTAGTGACGCAACACAAAAATTAGTCATTCTTAATACACCCACCTTGTCACGCTAGGTCGCATTTTCCTAGAACCACCCACCTAGCATGATGTCATTTTAATATTGCTCTCGAAATAAAGTGAGTGTTTCTAAGGAAACCTGAATTTTAAATCATTCATATTCAACCATAATTAGTAACCATAGTAACAATTATTAGCAAATACAGTTTATTTATATAGTAGTTGTGGTACGCTGTAAGAGCTCTGCTGACTTTACTAATGAGAGAGGCGAAACAAAGTTTTTGGATCAAAACGGTTCTCGGAGGATCAGGCGAATATTTCTGAAACTGGAAATAGACTACATGACAAAAGAAAATTGCTCTACAACTTTCTGGGACGCTCAGGTTTTACAAGAAATGTTTCACCTGCAACTGAAGATAACTTTTTTTTCAGGCGACTTTTATGCAGGAGAACGTTCAAAAGTTTGTACAGAATGTTTCTTTTTGTTAGACTTCAAGTTCTTCTATTTCTTTCCTACAGATTCGAAATCACCTAAATTTTTCTGTTCTATTACAAAAAAGGATAGCATTTACTTCGATCAAACATTTTTGTACTCTAATTTCTGCTGTTGTATAACGTTGAATATCTTTTGACACATTTCTCAACTTCGTTTATGCTTGAATCACCGGTAATAATTTCTAATTTGCTGTCAACTAAAGAATGGCTGATTGTTTCTGCCACAACTGTTAGCAATAACGATGCAATCTTTTAAGTCGTCTGTCAATCGTTATCTTGCTCTACAATCTTCATCTTTTCTCTTCCAGTTACTTCCAACACTAACTAGTGGTTTCTTGCAGCCTTGTTGGAAGCAAAGGTGTTAAAAAAAAAAAAAAAACATCGGCAGTAGGGTGTCCCGTTTCCGCATTTTTTTAAATTTCAAGTTAAACATTTTATGTGAGGTGCATAACCATTCAAAAATAATTCTTGTAAAATTTTAGGACGATCAAACATTATAACTTAATCTAAGTAATTTGTAGTTTTCGCGCCTATTTGTCAACGTTTTTTAAGATTTTTCCGTCAGTTTTTTAAAATTCATTCGAAAACTTCTAGTATGTTACTTTTCACTAACTAACGCGTTACTGGTAAAAAAAAGTGGGCTAAAAGAAAATTATTTAGAGGTTGCACAGGAAAAAAATAATATGTTACTAATGTACGAAATTGCCTAAAACAATGGTAAGATGATGTGTTTAATGTGTAACTCATAAATGTGGTGCCGATAAGCAGCCCATAAAATTGCACGACCGATATCCTTCTTAATTAAAGCTGAACATCCTGCTTTCCAGCCGGTGTTATTAATTATTGTGTCAAAACAAAACACAATCAAATCATCAAGTAGCTTCCATGATTTAAAATAGTTGATAAATTGATCTTTTTGAGTTAGACCAGTAGCATTTAATATTGCAGGAATCCCTAGAACTTTAGGATTTGAATCTTTAGCCAAACCATCCCATCCTATATATAAAAAATATATGTATAAAAAATTCATGTACAAAAGCGACGTGAAAGTAAATATACAAGCTTTGAAATGATTAATGACACAACAAATTCAGCTTGTTATAGACGTCGATTATTTGAGAAGTATTACTTCAATAACTGAGATGGAAAACTTAATACTTTCTTATAAAAGAGGAAAATTTCTTGAAAATTTTGTTGCTAAGATATCCGATGTTAAATTAAAAAGTGACACTTGTTTACGAAAAGCAGTTCTAAGATAATACTTGAATTATATATCAAGGAGAAAGTATACCATGCTGTGTAAAATACAAAATAATTCTTTAACTGAACGCAGTAATGAAAGTAATATAATATCTTACGAAGAGCATAATATTTTATTGAAAACATTAAATATTTCTGATAGAGCTAATAAAACATTTGTTAACAATCTCAATACTGAAGATATTTATTTTATAAAAGGAGGTGTTTCAAGCACAGTGACAGCATTAATCACAATGATTGCCGATCTAAATTTGAAAGTTAAAATCAAGAAAGATAAACTTAGGTGGTTTAATGGGAATGTAAATCACTTTGTTGTTGAGTTTTCTGATGATAGTGCACCTGATTCAAAAGAAAAAACAATGACTATAGCCACAATGTTACTATGGAACTACGGCAGTCGTATTTTTAGTCGTGAATTCCACTTTCCTCTTCATATGTTAATAGCTGGTGAAAAAGATGATGAATATGCACACCTATGGACATGGCCCCCACAAGGGAAGGGATGGCGGTACTGTAGCACTGAGGCCCCGATGTAAAGAGGTATTACAGTACAGTAAATCCGAGTAAAATGTTATTGTTTTGAGTTAAAAATAAATGTAAGAAGAAAAGAAAAACTTTTGAACCAAAAACATCGTCTAAAATTAAAAATTAGAAAACAAACAGACATTTCAGCAATTTAGGAAACCTCCATGTTTTTTTACTTATTTCATATATATTGCCGTTTTTTTACACCGATTTCTTTGAGCGATTCCTAAAGCTAAACTCATCTTCGTTATAAAATATAAGTTATTAGTCGTTAACGTTATTAGTCGTTAACAAGTATTAACAAGGTTATTAGTTGTTAACAAGTAGCTTGACATTTAAATTTGCACTTAAGAGCGTTATGGTCTTAAAACTTTTATGCGGCCCGTTGTGTATAAAAGTATATTATTTTCTCATATAATAGTTTTTTTCGTTAATGGATTGGTTAGCATAATTTGGTCCATAATCTTTCATGTTAATCATTTTACATTAGTTAAACTTTGTTATCAAATCAATAAACTAAAAAAGAAAAATAATTTATTCTGGAATTTTTTAAGTTCAGACATGTTTGAAAATATTGTGATTCTGATGTTCCAAAACTAAACTTTTACTTTTTTAAAAGATACATTTTTTGTCCAGGATTTAAATGATGTTTCAAAAGGAAAGTTATTTTTTTAGATTGTCAAGTTATTCAAACACCATGTCAAACTCAAATTACAAGCATAAATCGGGAGCTCAAAAGAGAAAACTTTAAAATGATAAGATCAAGATAAGATCAAAAGAATCTCTTGGTTGTCAATCAATAACCAAATTTTTCCGATAAGGAAACAAAGATTCTTCTAATGGTAAAATTAAGGATTGCATGAGAGCATAACTGTAGCATTGATGTCAGAGCTGAAAATCATTTTGAAATTGGTTCAATAGGTGAAAAATCAGGCAAAGGAAATGTGCATGGATCCACTACTTCTTATAGACAAGACACAAGAGATACGTCTAATAATGGTGTGGCAAAAAAAGAATTAAATGCCGTTGATACTTCTGATTCTAATATAATCAAAAATACTGCGATAATTCTTGATGACCTTGGTACATGGCCCAAATTGATTTCAGATGGACAGCGCCAATGTATAGAAACATTTTACAGTTTATGAAAAGTTTACCAGATATATGCAAAATTACCAAAAAGTCTAAAAGGAAGAAAGTTTTATGAATCTTTGTTTTTCACAAAAATGACAGATAAAAGAACACGAGATCATTTTCCAAGACAATGGTTAGCATGGAGTTTAATAAAAGAAAAACTTTATTGCCTACTATGCGTCATTTTTTGTAATTAAAATAACTACAATTTGAGCAGTTTAGCCCGTGAAGGATTTTCACCTAAAATGATACCATGGAAAAAGTTGTATAATATTTTGTCTAATAATCAAATTAGTGTTGAACATTGAAAACAATATTTGGATTGGAAAGTTGTTTTGGAGTCAATAAAAGGAAATGGAATAGACAAACAAAAACGACTCCAAATACAATGTGAGAGAAATAAGTGGAAAGCAATCCTAAAACGGATTATAGATGTCACATTATTTTTACCATCTAGATGTTTAGCATTTCAAAGAGAGAACACAACAATTAGGGATGTTCATATGAAGTCATATAAAGTTCATATGCCATCATGAAGTGACACAGCAAGTTCTTGCCAAAGTACAACAAAGTCAGTTAGAATCGAAAAGTATGAAGGGAAAACCACATTATTTTTCTTGATACTCCCAAAATGAATTTATCAAGTTATGTTCAGAAAAAGTTCTACAAACTATTTTAGATCAAAGAAAAGATGGAATCTTTTATGGGTTGATAGTTGATGCAACTCCGGATATTTCATACATTGAACAACAAAATCTTACTTTAGGATATTTGAAGTAAACAAACGTTTCATAGAGTTTAACTGGAAAATAGGAGAAAAAATAACAAAAGAAATACTTGCCACTCTAGAAAGACAAAACATACCACTTTAAGATTGTCGTTCACGAGGTTATGACAATGGTTCAAATACGTGCGATAAAACAAATGGTTTTAAGACCCGCATCTTAAAAAACACAATTTGCCTTATTTTCTCTATTAAATCCTGATGTAATAACTTTTTTTGGAAGCCTAGAAAGCTTCTACTGTTTGTTTTCTCAGAGTCCTGCTCAATGGGATGTGTTAAAAAAATACATACCATTATCTTTTCAAAGCCTTTCAAAAACAAGGTGGAGTGAAAGAATTCTAGCCATTCGACCAATCGCCAAACATAATCCTGACGCACTCGCTGTGTAGCCACTATCGACAACAAGAACGTTGTTATACAAAGCAAAGTAATATCCCTTGATGTTGAAACAGCCCTTATCTGCTACTATAAGGCACTTGGAAGAGTTAGCGTCCATGTTGGGAATGAATAAAGAATTTTTTCAGTTAAAATGATAAAGCTCATGTTCCAATTGGGCTGACTACTGCCAAAAAGCAAAGTTGATTGCTGATGCACGTCGAGTACAGAGTCAGCTTACCTGACCATGATTGGGTGGTGGCTGCATGACAAAAATTAATTCCATCGGTGTATGCTGGAATCTTAATTCATCCTAATTGTTTTGGAAACCGAGAAGCAGTAGGATATTCCGGACCAAACTATATAGCAATCAGATCAGGGAAACACTCAAAATCAACAGCATTCAACCATAAATTTGATTTTCAAAAATTGCTTACACTCAAAAAGTTTGACATCATTACCAGAAGTGGTATTTTGATTGGTTGAACCAATTTCAGTTTTGACAGTTGATGGTGGCCCTGATGAGAACCCAAGTGACCAAAAAGTAATAACCGTTGCAGTACACCACTTTATCCAGCATAATTTTGATGTTTTATTTCTTGCTACAGACGCTCCTGGAAGAAGTGCATTTATCAGAGTTGAAAGAAAAATGGAACTTAGTAAGAAACTGGATTGATATTACCACATGACCACTATGGTAGCCATCTAAATGAGAGAGGTGTACAATCGATGTCACTTTAGAGAAGAAAAAATTTTATTTTGCAGGGACCACTTTTGCTAAAATTTGGTCAGGCTTGATTAATGATAATTTTCCAACAGTGGCAGAGTACATTGAGCCCACTGAGTCTGAGTACAAGAACAACTCCTCTTGTCAAAGAATCAGAAATGGTATGATAGTCACATACGAACTAGCCTATAGCTTACGCAAATTGTAAGATGTAATGACAATAAGTACTGTTTGAAACCAAGAAGTTCTTATTTGATGTGCAATAATAGATAGTCAGTAAAATGCGAACCGCGAACTTCGAACCGGTAAAATGCGAACTTTTTCGCAAACCATAGTTCAATTAGTTGCTATTGATGTAATATTTTTTATTTTCTGTTTAACGTTAAATTGTTTATTTTACTATAAATTTTATGGACTTCAAGCAGAAACATAAATTATATTTAATTTAAAAGAAATACAATCTATTTTAAATAAAATATACCAAATTACACTATATTTAATTTAAATTAAAAAATTGACGAGCAAAAGTTTTTTTAAATATCATAACCGTAGTGGTCATTAAAATATAATGTCTTGGTTCGCAAAAAAGTTCGCATTTTCCGGTTCACAGTTCGCGGTTCGCAGTTCGCATTTTACCAACTTTCGCAATAATAGACAGATTTGAAAATTCTTTCTTCTCAGTTGCTAGTTGTTTCCGATTCAAGAACGAACAACGTACCTAGCATACCATTAGTTTCCATCTCTGTTTGCAGCAAAAAGTTTAAAAACTGACAATATCCTTGCCCGCTATTGAAATCCGTATCAAGAAATGTCACAGTACTTTGCATTAATAGTCATGCTGCGCAGTCACAGTATAAAACACATCCAGGAATCAACCGTTCCATCCGTAAAAATAAAGCCTCAGATAGTCATTGCACGTCGACAACAAGAAATAATAGTTCCAATCTCTAATGTGGAAAACGGTAAAAGTGCCGATTGGATTGATGAAACGGAACTTGATCTAAATGGAATGACTTTCTCCAGGATACTGGTGTCAACGCCTTCCCAGTTTATTCCATGAAGGAACATTTTTATTCACCATGAGAAAATAATTTTTGCTAATTTTTTAATTTCAGCAATGTTTCATGTTTTATTTGTTATAATTAGTTCAAATAAGGTTCAATTACTTTAAATATTTAACATTATATTTAATTGTTAAAATCATTTTAAGGTTCATTTTATTCAATTATTTAGAATGCGGAATAGCTGCGATATTATAGTTTCTTTATAGTAGTAATATAAAAAAGTTTTTAATTACTATTGTATTTAACTATAGTAAACTACAATTGAACATTTTGAAAATATTATACCTTCATGATTATAAAATGCAATTTTATAAATCACTAGTGAATAATTGATATTAGTTTAATAATAATAAAGATAATAATAATTTCCTTTATTATAGCTGCCCATTGTAATTTTCCCATTAAACATACATACATGACAATAATTTTGAAAAATATTTTATATTTAGTCATTATCCGATATTTAGGATTATCCGATATTTAGCCGAGAGAGAGAGAGAGAGAGGGAGGGAGGGGGTCAGCACTTGATAACGTTATATTCTAGGGAGTCTTCTATTCGGCCCTATGACATCATGTTAGCTTCTTTGATCCAAGTGGAATGCAAAAAGCAAACGCAGGATCCGAAAATAATATTTAAACTTGGAGTATTTTTTCAAGTTTTTACTAATAAACTTGCTTGACGTGCCAACCTGAACAGCAACGGCATCAATGTTTTCCTTTCGTCACTTCAACGACACAAATCCGAATTATTTATTGAAATTTAATACAAAGCTGGTAGTTGACGACATTTTAAGCAAAAAATATTTTTTTAAAACAAAATTTTTTTTGTAAATACTAATCACTTTGGTATATTTAGGTAATAGTCTTCAAATATATTTTTTCATTTCTTTAACTATTTACATAATTAGCTATATATTATTTTTCTGAAAATTTCAGTAAAATACAACAATCTAAATAATTTAGTATAAAATTGAAACTTATAAACAATCACTTTAGTCCAGAAGTTTTTTTTCTAAATTTAAATCGACTCACTATAAATATGGCATTTATTAATTATATTTATATGCCAGTATTAAAAAAGTCAAATTTATGCAGAATAATTATTTTACAACATGATTATTATTATTATTTTTTTAATTTTATACTTAAATGTTTGCATTAAACATTTTTAAAATACCTATAATAAAAACCACTAATATACTTGGAGGTATTAAATTCATCAAATAAATATCTATCTATTAAAAAACATCTGATTTTATTTATTTAATATCTTACTTATTTATCTACTATTTACGTAGATCTATTTATTATAGAGAAATAGATTCATCATTGTTTTTTCAGATCAACATCATGTTTTTCAGTAGACTAAAGATCAAAATTTATCTGTTATCAAAGATGACAAAACAATGTCTTTTTGGATTGACATTATGACTTGAAACCTCACCATAAGTGTCACAACTCCATAGGTACAAGAGGGGTATGACAGATATCTGTTAAAATAAAATAATGGTATTTTAGGAACTATTAAGAGTAAGAGGCTATAAATTTCATGGAATTCATATTTAAATTTTTTTAATAGTATAAACAACTGACACATATAGCATTTTTTAATTTTTTTTTAAATATCATTTTAAAACTTTTTTGGATCATTTAACATGGAATCACTATTTAATGAATTTGCGGTAGATTGTCATAAGTTGTATTAAAATCTTGGTGGAAAGAAATATAAATAGTTGATCAAATTTGTTTAATAAAGTTAAAGTATAGAAAAAATATAAAATAATTTAATATTTGTAAACAGAATAATACTAATATTACATTTTTAAAATACCTATAATAAAAACCACTAATATACTTGGAGGTATTAAATTCATCAAATAAATATCTATCTATTAAAAAACATCTGATTTTATCTATTTAATATCTTACTTATTTATCTACTATTTACTTTTAAAAAAAATATTCTTAATTTTAAAGCTATTGTTTTTATAACATCATTATGTATACTTGTTTATATTCTGTATACACATTATCTACCACAAAACTTACTACTTAAAGAAACTTAAAGATTTACTAAATAATATAGAAAACTTCAATAACTATTGAAGTTTTCAGAAATTTTTCATTTTTCAAAAAAAAAAATCTACCGCAAAACTCACTATAACATATTTACTATATTATTTAGTAAATCTTTAAGTTTTTTTAAGTGGTAAGTTTTGTGGTAGATAATGTGTATACAGTATATATACAAGTATACATAATGATGTTATAAAAAAAATAGCTTTAAAATTAAGAATATTTTTTTTAAAAGTAAATAGTAGATAAATAAGTAAGATATTAAATAGATAAAATCAGATGTTTTTTAATAGATAGATATTTATTTGATGAATTTAATACCTCCAAGTATATTAGTGGTTTTTATTATAGGTATTTTAAAAATGTAATATTAGTATTATTCTGTTTACAAATATTAAATTATTTTATATTTTTTCTATACTTTAACTTTATTAAACAAATTTGATCAACTATTTATATTTCTTCCCACCAAGATTTTAATACAACTTATGACAATCTACCGCAAATTCATTAAATAGTGATTCCATGTTAAATGATCCAAAAAAGTTTTAAAATGATATTTAAAAAAAAATTAAAAAATGCTATATGTGTCAGTTGTTTATACTATTAAAAAAATTTAAATAAGAATTCCATGAAATTTATAGCCTCTTACTCTTAATAGTTCCTAAAATACCATTATTTTATTTTAACAGATATCTGTCATACCCCTCTTGTACCTATGGAGTTGTGACACTTATGGTGAGGTTTCAAGTCATAATGTCAATCCAAAAAGACATTGTTTTGTCATCTTTGATAACAGATAAATTTTGATCTTTAGTCTACTGAAAAACATGATGTTGATCTGAAAAAACAATGATGAATCTATTTCTCTATAATAAATAGATCTACGTCTTTCATTTATAGTTAAGTTGTCATTGCTGGAGATATTAATGCATACACATCTTTAAAAGTAAGGCCGGCGCAAGTAAGTTTTAAGTGGGAGGGGTTTTTGCCGTAAACATTTCTAACACACAAAAGCAAGTCTAAGTTGCTCAACAATGTTGAAATCAGTTAATTTATAATGTTTTGTTTTTGCTTTAAAAAAAAAGTTGTCTAACGTTTGTAAAGTCATTGTAGTTTTATAAATATCTGTCACTGTTTGTCAAAAATTGTAGTTTTATAAATATCTGGCACTGTACAGTCACAGTAGTTTTGATACGCCAAACTATGTTAAAAATCTATTGACTGTGTACATTATAATTATGATATTTTCTTCAAACAAAATATCTCTGATTACCATGGTTTGTTGTTACCTATTTTTCTATTTCCGTTTAAATAAATACAGAATTTTGTAATGAGTAACAATAATTTTAGGGAGCGCCACTTGACCGGCTTAGGGAGTGCAGGTGGGGGTCAGCTCCTACCCCCATGCCATATGCTTAATTCATGACTGATATATATATATATATATATATATATATATATATATATATATATATATATATATATATATATATATATATATATATATATATATATATATATATATATATATATATATATATAATATTTGCTTACAAATGATGTTTTTTGTCTATACATTGATTGCAATAGTTTAGTATAGAGATTGTTTTTCAATAATTTTAAAATGTATTATCACTAAATGTTTATCAAAGTTGCTGTTTTTATATCACATGTTTTTATGTTTTTATATCACATGATTTTATATTTTTATAGTGTTTTTATTTATCAGAAGCGAAGGAAGAAATAAATTGAAGAAATAATGCTATATGGACAAAAAAGCTAACATTATAAGATGCAAAAACCAACAGTTTTGTATTCACTTCAACGTTCATTACAAACATTCTCCACATTTACATCATCAGCCAGCTGTCTGTCAAATGTTTGCTTTCAAAAAAATTTGACAAAAAATGGTATATGCCTTCTCTCTTTCTTTTTATATTTTATATATATATGTATATATTTTTAAAATTTTTATTGATTAAATTTTAAATTGCAGCGAAATCTGTATGGGCAGGAAAACAAAATTTTGTTTATCACTGCTGTGCCTCATTCAGTACATCTTCTAGAGCTTTAAAAAAATCTGATGGCATTGGTAATCCACCTATAAATGGTGGTGGCTCAAATAGTGGAAAAGGAACAAGTGGTAATGGAAAAGGAAATCAACTTTGTTGCCCAAAGTGTGGAGAACCATGTACCCAAGTTGAAACATTTGTTTGTATGTTCACATTTGATTTTTTCCTCAATTTTATAAATAGTTTAATTTTTTTTTTGAGTTTATATATTATTTATATAATTATATATATTTTTTTTTATCAAAAAATCAGCTTCCAATAGTAACTCTTGTTTATATATAATTAGTGAAGCTTCTTGCATTATATTTTTAGAACATTAAGGTACAAGGAATATTGTTTTGAGTTTTTTTTTCAGCTGCTACTCGATTTGTTAAATGTGAAAAATGTCAAAATTTTTTTGTGGTTTTATCTGAATTAGAATCAAAACGATCAATTCATAACGAAAAATACCAACAAGCACAACAGGAAACATCTAATCCTAACAACCAGAATAAAAGGGTGAAGGAGCCTCCACCTCCAAAAAAGGTAAATATGTTTTAAAGTTATAGTTAAAAAAAAACACACAACAGAGAAAAAAGTCTATAAATTATCATTATTAATCATTGATTGCAAACCTGGGACCTCGAAAACTAGACTCGACTAAGAATAAAAAAAATCTGTTCCAATTTTTTTCACTAAAATTTTTTCATCGACATATCATTTTACTTCTTACAAACAACATATTTTTATCATTGCAAGAAATTGATGCAAAAAGGTATTTTCAAGTTCTAAAGTTTGTTATTTTCAGATTATTAAATCTGATATTTTATCTCAGAATTTAGGTTCTTTAGACTTATTGGAAACATGTCTAACAATCAATCTTTCATAAATGGGTCTTATTCTATTATCTTTAATGGATAAGGCAGAAGTATTTTCTAAAAAATTCTCTACTAATTAAACTCTTGAATCTGATGAATGCATTCTTCTAGTCGTCCCAATAAAATATGTTATTATATTGTTAAACATCCTCATCACTCCGGCTTCTGTTGCTAAAGTTGTTTTAAACATTTCTACTGCTTATGATACTGACAACGTTCCTGTCATAGTATTACAAAAATATTCTCCAGAACTCTTTCTAAACTAATTGCATGATCTGTGATAAGAATGTAAGGATCTTATAGAGCACCTAAACCAAGAGTTTAGAGTAACTAAAATAAAAAAAAAGATAAATATTTATCTGTTTCTTGATTTTACATTTTGTTTTTGTTTTTTATCTACCTTATTAAATTTACAAGACCCTAAATGATAACAGTTGACCATATTTATATAATTACTAAAAAAAGCAATCCTGTATAAATGTTTAAAATAATAATAATGTTAATCATCATAACAAACAGATTTTATTGTACATTAGATGGAAGGATAGAGAGAAGAGCTAATTATCTTGAGATTTCAAAAGTTTTCAATAAAGTTAAGCATGCTGATTTTCTCCATTCAGTAAAATAGGAAAAAAAAAAAATTAAATTATTGAATCATTAATTTTCAACCAATTATTATAATTGATTTTAATATACTACAAGGGGCTATCCTTGGTATTGTGTTGTTTCTCATTCATATATAATGTCAATCATTCATATAAATATACGAATTCTATAAACATCAGTTTCAAGTTTCTCTTAATATTGAATATGATATAAAAAGCATCTAATATGCTATTATGAAATTATCAATCCATATGCTAAATATAAAAGTAAAAGCATTTATAAGCATGCAACATTATTGAGAAATAGCGTGCAATATCATGCAATTTTAGTTAAAAGTAGCCTGCAAAGTCATACAATTATCTTAAATTCTGGGAATCCTGTACATTATATTCTAGCTTTAGATTTTAAAGAAGTTAAAATTTTATATTGTGGATTTAAATTTTTAGATTTATGAATACTTATCTAAATATGTAGTGGGACAAGAAGTGGCTAAAAAAGTACTTTCGGTTGCTGTGTACAATCATTATAAAAGATTATCTGTAAACTTATCTGGCCAACTTGAATCTAATGCATCAGACAGTGTTAGTTTTCAAGACGAACGAGCAAGATCTCAAGCTAAAGGAGGTAGTTTTTATTTTTGCTAATGTCTGATTTTTTAATGCTAGTTAAAGCATTTAAAAAGATTTAAATGAACTATTTGAGATTTAAACTGGCATGTGTCAATTTTAACTTTTTTTGTCATGGCTAGTTTATTATTGAAATGTTGTAATGGCTAGTCTATTTTAAAAAGTTTAGAATTTATTGCAAAAAGTAAAATAAGTTTTTCAGCACTTTAATGTATATAACTACTTCAAAAAAACAACATAAGAACATAAAATTAGAGTTCTCTTGTTAATTGTGAATAAATTAATACCTAGCAGCCTTTTTTTTTTTACTAGAGTTATTGAATTCTCTGCTAGCTATATGTATATATCTCTTCTGGCCTGACCAAAGACACGACAAGCACTTTCGAATGTCATTTTTACACATCTTTCAACAAATTGTGTATGAAAGGGACACTATTAAACCTGTGAATTTTCTTCTTTTAACATCTTTGTGAATTTTCTACTTCTAACAGTTGCTATTTCTTCAGTTTCTCTTATGGCCTATCTGTATGGCCTCTTAAACTTGCTTTTGCTACATTTTTAGTATTTATGGTTTTATACAAACCACTTTTTACTTTTACTTTTTTTGGCTCTCCACAGACTTCATCTGAGTCACTGACAATGACAATGACAGATATTTAAGGGATGCCTTAATAGCATTTTGATATCTAACAAAGTTCATATCAAGACAAGGATTTTTTTTCATTTTTACAAGTACATACAATGTGCTTTTCTATCACAATTTTTTTCACAACTTTCTTCACAAATTTCTTCACAACTTCAATAACTCAACTCAATACAAAATAGTATTTTACAATTGCATGTAAACAAATCAAAAAATTTATCAAGTTTTTCTAAAAATTTATCTTTCTTTTTTTTTTCTATTTATCTTTTTGTTTAATATTCTTTAGTATTATATATTTACTGCAATGAGATAACTCTTGTGGAACAGAGCATAAATACAAGCCCTGCTATTCACACTATAAGCACATTTACAAATTTACAATTTATTTAACTGTTCTTTGTTAATTTTTTTCATTTAAAACTTATTGTAATAAATTCTAAAAAGGTTGTCTAAAGTTAGTTGGATACCATTGTTAGGAAGATTGTTCTGAGAATTCCCTACACTATATTAGTGACCTATTTCACAATTATTACTTATTTCTCTGCGTAAGCATTTACAGTTACCGTACTTAGGTTCTATTGTCAATGGCTTAACATTTCAATTTTATTTTAAATTTTAAATTGTTAAATACAATCAAAATGAGTTTTTTTTTAAATTAAGTCTAAATTAAGAAGCTGTAAGCGATCTTCATAGAAGAGTTGTTTTAAAAAGTGAGATACTTTTGCAGCTTGTTGCTGAATACATTTGATGCTGATTTTAAATAACTATTACAGAATGGAGTTGCAAATTCTATGTGTGGTTTAATATACACTGTGTATAATTTAATATACACTGTGTATATCTCTACTGGTGAATGAATTTTTCTCCTAAAATTTATATTATATTATTTTTATTTATAATATTTTAGGATGAATAAATTCATCCTAAAATGGTATTAGCTTTTGATGCAATTTCAGAACCTTGTGTATTCCTCTTACAATTTGACAAGATTGTAATGCAGAAGATGCAGCATCAAACATAAATTGTTAGGGAGTTGTCTCAATTTGTTGTTGTTGCTTGGATTTCCTTTCTTTATTAGCTTGCTCCTTTTTAAATTTGTCTTCCTTGATTGATAAAACTGTTTCTAATATTTTTTTCCCCTCCATTGAGTTGTGAACCTGGGTAACTAACATTTTCCTTGTTACTTTGGTTACAGGCAAAGGTATTTCTTCAAATGATGTTGATGTATCAAATATTGTTTGATAAGCTTCTATGGCACTTTTGTATTTATGTTTCCAATAGCTTACTGAGTCATAATGAACATGTTTTGGAGATAAAATTATTAGTGCTGTTGATGATTGATTGTTTTCAGTATTTTCATTTATACACAGCTTGGCTTGTAAGAACTTATCTTCCTGCATCACTTAACACCGAGTCCTCCACATAAGATCCCAACTTTTTTACCTGCATTTATAATTTTTTGTTTTGATGCCCACTCTGGCCACAACTGCAAATTTTTTTTATGAGACCTTTCTTGTTGATTGTCATTAACAAAGAATAAAGTGCAGATTTTGCACTTCTTTACTCAGAGCGCAATTTCTGATTGATTTTATCAACAAGCTGGGTAATGCCAGTTGTGTCAGGTGGAGCAATGAAAAGACAAATATTTTTGTTTCTTAGAAATGTCAACTCACCATAGTCACCACTAAGTCTTGAGGAATAACCATCAGATTGAACAAAAATATGTCGTTTTATATTGTTTTTTATAAATAATGGTCAAACATTTAATATGCACTTAAAAGTGTACTATGGTCTTGGCTGCCACTTTAATTTGTGGAGATTAGGAAATTTGGAATTTGAATAACTGCTTCTTTTGGAGCCATGAGGACACTTATCCCCTTTCCCTTAAATATGATATGGCACATTGATATATCTCTTCCAAAGGAAACAAAAGGATGTATAGTTATGCATTCCCTATTTTCACTTATCATTATTTGACAACTTTCCCCTCTCCCAGCATAATCTAAACTATTTGGAATACTATCAACTTCATAGTTTACAAACTAGGGGGTTTCATCATGGTTGTAAAGTCTAGTGGTATCAATATCTTCCTGCCATACACATGTTTTTACTTAATTTGCATCAATTAAAATTTTATAAGTTCTTCAGCTAACTCATTAAGATGGTTACACCCTATTTCATTTGTGCAGTTAAGAGCACAATTTATAGATACAGTTCCCTGTCTCTTTTTTGTAATGTACTTCACAACTCCAAAAGAATATCAAAACACACTTTTGTACTCGCACTTTACTTTAGTAAACACTCTTTAATTTTCAAAGTAAACAAAGAAAACTGATTAAAGTGTGCTTTGAGGGAGGTTTGATAGTAGAACTATACAGAAGTATACTGTAGGCAAAATATTCATTCAATAATGCAAAGAAGAAACTGAATAAAAATAACTTTGAATTTTTATTTAAATAAGTTTTATTCATCTAACATTCTGAGGCTCCTTAGCCTAGCATTTTGTATTGGAATGTAAAAACTAGAAAGGGTAAGTAAACCAAACATTTAAAATTATACTGAGCAAGGAAAATAATGCTTTTATTCAGAAACTTATGAATTTCCAACCAAAATTGGAAGCAGTATAACCTATTATATAACCTGACATTATGAGATCTCTATTGAAAATGTATATCCTAAATATCTAAAGACATAAAAATTATACCAAATTTTTTTTAACCTTTTTAGCATTTTAACAGGAGTATTTCGTCTCTTAAAATTAAAACTAAATAGCTGGATAAATATTTTGTTTTAACCAGGATTCTAAAAAAAACACCAGCATTCTTAGGTCTTTTTACCTATACAAAAAAAAACAGTGTCATAATATAAACATGAAATGATTTTAAAAAAAACAACAAAAAAACAACTTATTTTGATAACTAGTCATTATCACATTTCAAAAGAAACAAACAAAAAAAAGTAAAATCGACACACTCTAATGTACATTGCAAGTTGGTCAGATAATTTAAAACACATTAAATTGATAAGTTATTTTTAAAATAAATTGTATTGCATTTTTTTCAATTTTAAGTTTTAATTTAAAGTATCGATATTAAGGCATTATTTATTGTGTAAATACACAACAAAAAAATGCCATAAGATCGAAATTTATAAAATAAAAACACAAGTTTATTTATTTAAATGAAAAAATGCCAATTTTAAATTTAGTTTACTTTTCACATTCAATTTTTTTTCAATTTCAAATTCATTTGTTGAAATGTTTTCTATAAGTTAAAATATAAGGTAAAGTGAACTATAAATACTGGAAACAAGAATGTGTGCTGGTCTAATTCTAGGACACTGGCATGTGTGCTGGTCTATATAATAATGTATAGTTACGATAGTAATTATCTTACAATAGACTTTCTTCAGATTGCTTCTGGTAAGAATGAATCTTCTCCATTAGGAGCTGTTTATACTTCTGACAGTTTAAAAGAGCCGTTGCAACCCCCTCCATCAACAACTTCAAATTTGGACAAATTTAACGAAGATTCAATAAAAATTGATAAAAGTAACATCTTGTTGTTGGGACCAACAGGATCAGGTATGTTATATTTACAATTGAAATTTATTACGTTGTTAAAGTATATTAATATTTGGTGTAAAATGACAAATGAAGTGTACAGGTAGAGTTCTCTTAAAAACACATACCCCCTTAAACACTACTTGTATAAACTTTCAGCTCTGGGTTCCACTAATAACAATGAAATTATTAAATAATGATTGAATCAGTATCTCTAAACATCCTAGATGACAAATTAATTAAAAATTTACCTCTTTTATAATTTTAAAATCTTCAAAAAGAGAATGCAAATCAAATTTTTAGTTTTAAAAATGGCTCAATTTATGCATTATGACCTCCTACTGTTTAATAGTTTAATTTTAAGTTTGCAATTTACTTATTTCTAGATAATGTTACTTGTTCTAATCCACCAATGTAATATTAACTAATTTACAAACTCTTAAAGATGTTTATTATTATTTTTTTTTTGCAGTGCTACGGATGTAGTTTTTAAGGGGTCGCTAGCTTTAAAATAGGAAATCTAGTTTTTAATACAATAACAATATATATTTTGAATAATAGGATATATGAAAAATTATTTATTAAAAAATTATAAATTAAATTGCGGTTTTCCCATACTATTATTTTATTTAAACACTAAAAATTAAGAATATACATACTTGATTAGAGATTATGAGTACAAAATGAACAGAAAGGTACCAGTTATAACAATTTTAACATTTCTTAGTTAAAGAAGATCAGTTTAAACATTCTCTCCATTCCTGGTTCTTCTAAGTGGGCTTGTATAGGCTTATTTTACCTAATGTAATGTATTTAAGGGAGAAATCGTGTAGTTTTTAAGGGACTTTACTATCTAAAATGCTATTTTAGATAGTAAAGTCCTTAAAAACTACACTTAGTTGTTGGACTAAGTTAGCAAGCCCACCCCCAGCCAGAATTCATGATAACTGTATATAGCTGACCCAGAGAAATGGCTGGGTGCATATGAAAGCCCTTGATGTCAGGATTTCAAAATTATAAAATTTGAAATCCAACTATTTCGTCTCGGAAAATAAATTGAGTTTTTATTTTTATTATATTACAGCAACTAGACAAATGACAGCATACCCATTTTTTGCATTTTTACAGCATCAAAAAGTTTGAGTTAGTAATAATTTTATTTCTTCAATGATATCATATGTATTCATTCATTTTACAGCACTGGCTTGATAAAAATAAACAATAATACATTCTAACAAAAAGACTGTAACAAAAATAATGCAAAACTTTTTTAATTCTTGAAATAAGTCTTCTGCTCCTGTTTCATAACTGCCTTTAAAGATGCTTGCTGTTAAAGTCAACTATGCATATTTGAAGTTGCCTTCCATATTCTGGATGGGTTGATGGTCTCTTGTATCTTTTCCAGTGTTGATGAAAGTGATGGTGCATAGCTTCTGTTGTTTGTTTACTGAAGATTCCCAAAGCAGTATTTTTCTTTTGGATGAAGTCCTTCACATGAAAAAATACTGCATGAACTTTTGGAGTCACGCTTCCAGATGGCATTGCCATATATGCTTCTCTGAATAAGTCAATTTTTCTAGAGAAATCAGAAGATAATGTGGACCCAAAGCAAGCACAGCTTCAAATTTCCAGAAAGTGTTGATGATGGGACAAATATAAATTGAGGATGTTTTCTCTGCAAGATTTTGCAATAAATCCAGGTTCTTCAGAAGCTTGTGACAATCATTTCCAGCAAATTGTCCTCCGTGGAAAGGTTGTTGTTTTATGTGAAGAGCATCTAGCCACTTTTCAGCATGCGGCCACATTGACTTCAAGATCTTAAAGAGGTGATTGACAACTCCAAGCAGCAGATGCAATTCCATAGGTGGAATTAGATTTAAAACCAATCGCTCATCATCCAAAGCAAGTAATGGAGGATGAACCACATTTCCGAATTCTTTTGCCTTTTTCATGTCACGTCCTGCAGCATCAAAAGCTTGACAGGATGATTTGAGAGACCCAAAGGTGCAAAGATTTCCAGATTGTGCAAGTTTATTTGATGGGACATCACACTACGTGCAAGGATGGGATGATGAGTGAGACTGAAGTCCACAGAGAATGTTGGCCAGCTTCAGATCACAAGAAACAACAAAATCCTTAGGGTTAGGCTTGATGAGAGACAGAACATTTTGGACATTCAAATAGGTTTCATATAAATCTTCAGCAATTGCAATGATAAGCTGACGATTGCAGCCACTATCTTTGGAAGAGTTTGTAGTCAAGTTTTTCTTACATGGAGGAGGATCATCTTCACAAGGCATTTTCTCAATAGCTCCCAGTGTGACATTCAGAAACCCACCACTACCATCAATGCCAAGTTTGATTAGTGGCTTGCTGAAGACTTTTCGTGACAAAAGAACTTCATTTATCAGTTCTTGCAGATCTTTACATTGAACTACAAGTTTCTTGCCAATAACTGGAGTTCGACCCCACCACGTCCCTGGTAGTACCGCGCTCAACTCGTTTCTCCGCGCAGCAGCCTTGTTTGTCAAGGTTCGTGTTTCGGAGTTATAGAGTTGAGAGAGGGTTATAGCCACAAATAAGTAGCCTCCTCGTCTGTAGTGGCCTTCTCAGCCTTGAGGAGGTGAATTGAAATAAAAAAAAAAAAAAAAAAAAAAAAAAAAAAAACTCCATTGCCTTGTTCAGGTAAAATATCTGTTTGATTAACAAATCTGGCAAGTGAGTTTCCTAATGCAGAAAATTTGGAGCAAATGTTTGGCTCAGTAATTTGGACTGCTGAAACTTGGTTCAAAGTTGTCGCTAACTTTTTCACATTTGTGTTTGACAATCCAGTATTGATTTGCACTTGAACGAGATCCCCTGCAGTAACTAAGGATGTTGATCCAAAGAGTCTTCTTGCACTTGAAGGACCTATAAGTAAATATTTTGGCAATTTTATTTTAAATTTTACAAGTTGTCACAATTAAAGTAATTGACTTTTCTCAAGAATTGACCACATTTTTGGCATTGAGAACTAATAAAATTGAACACATTTAATTATACTACAATAAAGTCATTTTTACCTGGGGTGAAGGTAAAGGTCGTCCACCTTTTGCTTGAGCCAGACGAATTGTTCCTTGAGGGGAAGCATCTGTGCCAGCTATTGCAGAAGCTGGAATTTATTGAGCAACTGTGCTGTCATTTGATGCCAAAAGTCTCATATTTTCACGAAACTTAGCTTCAGTGAACGACATCCTTTACAAATCCCAATTGGCGTTCGTTCATCTTCAAAGTTGATCTTTTGTTCAAACAAGCTTGAAATTTCCTGTGCCATTGATGGTGAAATTGTCCTTGTGCTTTTTTTCAAGCACAAGAAACACAGTTTTCCGGCAATCTTTGTGAGTTTTAGTTTGATTGGGCATTTTGAAAGACCAAATGATTCCAAAATCGTAAAAATGAGTGGTTCTTTGTTTTGATGTATTGAGAATAGCCCTTTCCCGTAATTTTAACACCAATAATAACAAAAAATCATTTTATGTAAGAAATACAGGTATGCTCTTTTTTCAAAGTCATAAAAACAAAAAAACAATGTTTTAGTCATGTAATAATAAAATTATCACTCACTTAAATTTTTTACTGTAAAAATGCAAGAATTAGTTATGCTGTCATTTGTCTAGTTGCTGTAATAGAATAAAAATAAAAACTCATTTTATTTTCCGAGACGAAATAGTTGGATTTCAAATATTATATTTTTGAAATCCAGACATCAAGGGCTTTCATATGCACCCAGCCATTTCTCTGGGTCAGCTATATACAGTTATCACGAATTCTGGCTGGGGGTGAGCCTCCTTATATATCATAATACACTAATTTCTGATATAATAAAAAAAAAAATTATAACTTTCAGAAAATTTTCATCCATATAAATACAATTATGTTCCTTGTAGTTTTTAAGGGGAATCTTTGAAATTTTCACTAAATATGTCAAAACAAGGATAATGACTTCCAGGGAAGAAAAACCCTATAATGTGTTTTCAAATCTCAAAAAACAAATTCAAATAGTTGACCTGTAACGGATGTATTCCATTTTCAAAATTTGCGTAGTTTTTAAGGGAACTTTACCTGTATAATAAAATGTAAAATAATGATTTTTTACTTTTAAAAAGTTATTAACAAACAAAAATTATTACTTATTGCAACAAAAGTACTAGCAAAGTAAAACTTACAAATATAAACAAAGATATTTCTAGAGCTATCTTGTTTCAAGCATAAATACTTGTAATAATTAAATAAAAAACTTGTATAACTAGATTTATATCCATATAAAAAGTTTTTTATCTAATTATAAAAAAATAAACTCTTCATAAGATATCATTTAAAATTTGTAATAATTCATGTTTTTTTAATTTTTTTGATAAAATCAATCATTAAAACGAAACAAACAAAAACAAAAATTAAAATATCAAAAGTATATAATAAAAAATAAAATTTAACATCTAATGTTTTTATGTAATAATTTTTCATTTAGTTTTTTATTTTTTAAATTCGGTAATTGTTTTTGTTATTGTTTATTATATATATAAGAAATTGTTTAAATAACTTTTCTTGCGCTTGCAAGATGGTAAAGAAAGGTTTTTCTATTATATTTTATGAATACTTTTATTCCATATAATATAACATCTTTTTTCCTTTTCTTTTGCTGAACATTTTTGATGGAAAAGTTAAGTTAGTAAAAATTATTTTTTTTTTTGTTTTATCTTAACATAATTAAATTTGTAAATAGCGCTAATATCAAATATAAATGTCATTCAAACTTTTTTACATAATCGTCATTCGAACTTCATAAGTGGTTTTTATAATCTTAGTTACTCTGTTTATCTTACTGCTTAAACAGTAAATAATAAAAAGTGTGTTGGTTGAAATGGCTTACAGCTTTACATTAAATGGCTTAACGTTGGTTGAAATGGCTTACAGCTTTACATTAAATGGCTTAATACATATGCAAATGATGCGCCATTTTATGCTTTAAAACAAAGCCTAAGATTGCTGGGAAGTGCAAATTTTGATCCCTGTACATTTTTGCTGCTTTAAATTTTATTTTTTTCATAATAATTTTATTTTTATCGTCATGAGAAGTTCAAGAAGTTCTTTTGTGGCACATGCGATTTCCTCGCCACACAACTTGTTTACTTTATGTTAGGCACAATATATTAAAATGCATATGCATTTTAAATTCATTAATGGTTTTATTTTTATGATAAAAATGTCTGTAGATTGTGTCTGATGAATGGCTAGTGACCATTACTGGTCAATATTGTTGAATGTGAATAAATGGCAAATATTAACATAAAGCAATAAAGTTATCTATGCAAGTTATTGTGGACATTTGCTTTTTTATATTTTCAAAAAAAGAATTTTTGCATTTTGTTAGCAGAGTAGACCAAAAATTAATGACATTAGGCATAATTTACCATAATAGTATATTCCATGATTAACATGTCATTTAAACTTTAAGTTCTATTGGATCATAAAATATCAAACTGTTTCTTTTATTGCAAATTAAAAAAATAATTTACGCCAGTTTTAATTTCTTTATCATCAAAAGTTATAAAACAAAAAAATGCAGATACTTTTTAAATATAATTTTTCAGCCGCAGATGGAGAATTTCTTACATAGAACATAATTCTAAAATGAATTGTATCACGCAGACACCTGGTCAATGTTCACTTATATAATTAAAAAAAATCTTAAAGATTGAAAGATGCAAAAATGCAAAGACTCTTCCCCATTTATATATTAATCAAAAACTAATTTAAACTTATTTCATAAAATATCTCATCACTATTATACAAAGGGTTAGCAAGATGACCACCATGGCAACTTTGAGGAACAACGAACAATGAATTTTGAGTATGGTGTTTCAGTGTATTGTTGTAAAGAACTTTGATGTTTTATCTCAAATTCTTCAATATGGTAGAAAACAGCACAGACCTTTGGTTTGACCAATATTGGCAAAAATAGGAAAGATCTTTTGAATTTCAGTCTAAAAGCTTTCCTTTAGTATTGTTTCAAAAAAGGTGACATATATTTAAATGACTTCATTATTGCAAAAATTGATTAGTAGAGTCTCAATAAACTTAAAGACTTCATATGCACAAGCTTATTTAGCAATCATTGTCTTTGAAGTATCCACCATGCGATGGCTGGAGTTGAATGTGTTACTCAACTTGCCAAACTTTGGTGCCAGATCACAAGTCAAAAAGGTTCTTAAAAAGATTATTAACAAATCCAAGATAAAAATGGAGTTCCATTTATTGAATAACATCCAAAATGAGCACTAAATTGTCCATATTTGGTCAAAAGTTAATAGATTACTTTTTCAAAATTTTTTGCAAAGTTTAAATCTAGACTGTTAGCATATTGCTTAGCTATTAGTATTACGAATCTTTCTGTTAATGTGCTAAAACTTCATAGAGTTCCACATACTAATAGATTGTCAGAGTTAACCTCACATCTGCAGCAAGGGTAGTTCTTGAATGGGACTAAATTCCAAAAATGATATTGGTTAATTTGAATGAATGAATTCCTCAAATGATGTTTTTAAATCATATGAAATGTAAAATGTCACACCTGAAGTATAAAATACCATTCACTTAAATAGTATTCATCAATACTCAGATATTCTTGTATGTTTCAGGTATATTTTAACAATGGCAGTAATGATTCAACTTTTAACAGCTGTTTCTAGAGCTGATGAACCTGTCTGCATCTGATATTTACTACTAACTACTTGTTTTGTCACTTTTGTTACCTTGATAACTGACAAGCTTATTTTTGAAAATCTGCCATGGATTTGAAAAAATTGTTTTAACTGTAATCTCTGTTCAACAGCATCTTATTAGTTGAACCAAATTTCTATCGTGAATAACTTGTTTTTGTTCTTTTGTTTTTCCTTTTTTTTTTCAGTTGTAAAATTGACTAAAAGTAAAAGGAATTTTTGCTATATTTTTCCATCAATACTTAGTTTTTGATTGACACTTTCTTCAACTAGTCAAGTTTTTATTACTTTGTTGAAAATTTAAGCAAGTTTTTTTATTCCTGTATTGGATTGTTCAGTGTTGCACATTTAAAAATATTTGCTCTGCATTAGTATATGATTTGTTGATTTCAGTGCAGGTTGTGTATCTAATAAAGTAAAATGAGATGTTGTGTAAGCTGCTGATTAGAATCATTTTTCAAGCTGTTATTTAATGTATATTATAATTATAAAATGTAAACAATGATTTCCTAATATCATTGGTTATACTTTTAAGTTATAAAAGGATTTTAAAAATTTTCAGACTTGAAAGATATGCCATTTATAAGAATTATGTTGTGTGTTTTTTCATACTTAGATGTCAAAAGTGTTATATTTATATAGAGAAATTGTAAAGAGGTGGCAACGAACACATCAACATCTTTTTTTTAAAAAATAAATAAATAAAGAGTTCAACATAAGTTGTACTTGGGACTCACTTAACACTTAGGACTCGATTATCTGCATGGTTTATGTTACTTTTTATCAATTTTTGCAATAATGAAGTCATTTAAATATATGTCACCTTTTTTACAATTAACAGGTTTACAGAACTTATACAGTTATTGTGATTTTACAGTTATTGTGATTTATTTTTCATAGTAATTGATTCCTTTTAAATGTTTCTATATTTTAAAGTTGAGCATATTTTTGGAACAAAACAGTTTTTTTTATTGTTTTAGATTTAAATTTGATATTAATCAAAAGTTATTTAAGTGAAATTAGTTTAAAAGTTAAGTTAAAAAGTGATTTTCTAAATTTTTCTTCAACTTTCACCATCTGATATAAATTTTTTTTTTTAACATGCAATTAAAGTCAATCTATATAATTATATAATTTTAAAATTGCTACACTAAACATATTCTAAAATTATTTTTTTGCATTTTTATAAAAATACCTCATTATATTTGCCTATTTAATCCCCGTTAAACAGAATGATTTTTTGAAAAATAAAAAAGAACTTTTCAGTTTTTTAAAAAAGTTAGTTTGTGATTTTCATAAAGTGTAAATTAATAAAAGTATCGTGAAGTAGGAGAAAACAAAATCCAAAAGTATAGTTTTTTTTGACAGTCACAAGAAATTTTATACAAAAATCATAATATTGAATAGTGAATGATCTGATACTGAGTCAATAGTGAATGATCTGAGTCAATAGTAAGACTGAGAAGTGGTGAAGTAGAAGATTAAATAAAAGTATTTATCACTTTAGGTTTAATGTAGCTGAAGAATCTTTTTTTTATTGTTGTAGTTTAAGTTTGCTTCTTTATTACTTTTTATGAGTGACTCATTTTTTTTTCTTTCAGGTAAAACCTTGTTAGCGCAAACTATAGCTAAGTGCCTTGATGTCCCATTTGCCATGTGTGACTGTACTTCACTTACGCAAGCTGGTTATGTTGGAGAAGATATTGAATCTGTAATCACTAAACTTCTTCAAGAAGCTAATTACAATGTTGAACTTGCTCAACAAGGTATGATGTGTTTTAATCTATACTAGATTGTAGTTTGTTGTAGAAGAAAAGTTTTATAACATGTTTGCATAAAGTTCTTAATTGTAAAATAAAATACTCCTTGTCTAACTTGAAATAAAACACTACTTGTCTAACTTGAAATAACACACTACTTGTCTAACTTAAAATAACACACTACTTGTCTAACTTAAAATAACATACTACTTGTCTAACTTGAAATAACACACTACTTGTCTAACTTGAAATAACACACTACTTGTCTAACTTGAAATAACACACTACTTGTCTAACTTGAAATAACACACTACTTGTCTAACTTGAAATAACACACTACTTGTCTAACTTAAAATAACATACTACTTGTCTAACTTAAAATAACACACTGCTTGTCTAATTTGAAATAACACACTACTTGTCTAACTTAAAATAACATACTACTTGTCTAACTTAAAATAACATACTACTTGTCTAATTTGAAATAACACACTACTTTTCTAACTTAAAATAACACACTACTTGTCTAACTTAAAATAACATACTACTTGTCTAACTTGAAATAACACACTACTTGTCTAACTTGAAATAACACACTACTTGTCTAACTTGAAATAACATACTACTTGTCTAACTTGAAATAACACACTACTTGTCTAACTTGAAATAACACACTACTTGTCTAACTTGAAATAACACACTACTTGTCTAACTTACAATAACACACTACTTGTCTAACTTGAAGTAACACACTACTTGTCTAACTTAAAATAACACACTACATGTCTAACTTAAAATAACACACTACTTGTCTAACTTGAAATAACACACTACTTGTCTAACTTAAAATAACATACTACTTGTCTAACTTAAAATAACACACTACTTGTCTAATTTGAAATAACACACTACTTGTCTAACTTTAAAAATAATACTTGTGTAAATAGTAACTACTAAGTGGTAAGATATGTTATGACAAATTGTCAGTTGAGAACCAAGAGGTCATATGTCCACATTTTGTATTTTTTCTGTTTATTATTGATAAATATTCAACAATCAATAGGGTATGTGTGTAATAAATCTATTTTTAAGAATGTTACAACTTTTATTAAAAATTTATTTTTAATTAAGAATGTTACAACTTTTATTAAAAATATTAAAAAAATTATTCGGACATTCTGGCAGAATGTCTTTACAAATTAAACTTTAAAACTTGATTTTCTCGGAAACACAAAAAATGGACATACAGCCTCTTGGTTCTTGGCTGACAAAAAGTAAAATTAAAATAGAAAAAAAAAAGAGTAGCACTCATAGTAGCCGCCCCCCCCTTCCCCTGGAGTCTTAAGGAGGTAAATTTAATAAAATTTAAAAAATTAAAAAAAAATGTCAGAAATGTGGTTTATCATTATATCAGTGCAACCCACTTAATTAACCCCTCTTATAAATCTTATTTTGTAGTTATTTTAATCTATTTAAGTAGTTATTTTGCAATTTTTTATAGTTTATATGGCAACACCTTTAATTCAGATTTTAGATAATCATTTGAATAGAAAGAAACATTAATTGACTGAAATGATTTAATGCTTGACAATAATCTTGCTTGACAATAATCTTACATAATTCATAAAGTAAATAGGAGTTAGTGTGAACAGTTCAGCGTTAAGTTCAATTATTGATATGAAGAAAAAAAATTTTTAGTTAATTCTTTTTTATAGATAATTTTTTACACTTTATATTATATAAAAATTGAAAAATTATCTTGAAAATTTTTGGAGAAATCTATTTTCATTTAAAAAAAATTTTATCTTGTAATTGAGTGAAAGAAAACTTGGTAAATTTTAATAACAATTAATTAAGTTATTAAGAAAAACAAGCAAAACTATTTAAAAATGAAATGAAAAACAATTTTATTAGAAATTAAGTTTACAAAAAAAAACTATTTTAAATTTGTTTGTGTGTAGATGTGTCACCAGTGATAAAGGTTTTTACTTGTAGTCAAATAAGAATTCATTTTGTTAAGCTGTGGAAGTTTGTAGCTACTGTTATGAAACTGTATAAGTAATGCGCCAAACATACTTAACATGACAATATTCACGTACTTTTAATAGTTGGGTATCAACTTGATTTTTTTGTCATTGCAAATACATGCAACATAAATATTTAAATTTTAGTCTTGGATATTACTATCCAATACTAAAATGTGAATACAAATGAATGAAAAAATTAACTGATTAAGTAATGGGTAAATTGATTAATCAATTGCAGTTAATCAATTTAGTTTTTAGTATGAATACTTTAGTGAGTCATTGAATAAGTTGTTTCTCTTTTATCCAACCCGACTTGGATGTTGTAAATATATCTTTATTGCTATAGTGGTATTGGGGTGGAGCTCTTGCTTTGTAAGGAAGAATTTTAGGGATTGATCCCCACCATGTCCTCTGCATTACTGCTCTTAACTTTTTGCCTCCATTTTTTTCATAAAGCTATTAGAAAGTTTATATGTAAAGTTTTATTTTTAGGAATAATATTTTTGGACGAGGTTGATAAAATCAGCTGTGTTTCGGGTTTTCATCAAGTGAGAGATGTTGGTGGAGAAGGTGTGCAACAGGTTAGTTTTTTCATAATAATAAAGTATAAATATATATATATATGAATATATATATACGTACATACATACATACATACATACATACATACATACATACATACATACATACATACATACATACATACATACATACATACATACATACATACATACATACATACACACATCATTTCCGAATACAATCATAAACAGGTTTTATATTTTTATAGCAAATTTTTTTCACTCATAAATCCAAAGACCATCGCGTTAACATTCAATCTTTTTTTTATTTTGATTAATTTTAATATTTTGCATTCTTGTAGGGTCTATTAAAAATGTTAGAAGGTACAGTTGTAAACGTTCCAGAACGAACTTCACGAAAAATGAGGGGTGAAAATGTCCCTGTTGACACTACCAATATTATGTTTGTAGCATCTGGTGCATTTAATGGTTTAGAAGATATAGTTAGGCGCAGACAGCAGGATAAAGTTAATATATATTTTGATTTTTTTATGTTATAGACAAAAAATGTCACAGTTAATTTTTTTTTTATTAACTTATAATTTTACATTCCTATATTTTTTTTCTTTGTTAGTCACTTGGTTTTGGTTCATCTACAAAAAAAAAGTCAAACGAAATAATGGACTTACAAACAATATCTAAATTAGAGCCAAGCGAAAGAAGTGATCGCGATGCTCTCCTTGCTCAAGTTGAAGCTCGTGATTTGATTGGATATGGAATGATACCTGAATTTGTTGGCAGATTACCTATATTAGTTTCAATAAACTCTCTTGATGTAAACGCCTTAGTTACAATCTTAACAGAACCCAAGAATGCGCTTATACCCCAGTATCAACATCTTTTTAAAATGGACAAGGTTGCTATGATTTATGTCTTTTATAAATTTTATCGAACGAAATTTTTTTTTATTGAGTTTTGCGAATAACAGTTTTAATTTCTTACTGGTTGGTAATTATTTTTTCAAATTCGTTTACTTAACAGTTTTTTAATATTAGGTTGATCTTCATTTTACAAAGGATGCTCTACGCAAAATAGCACTCTTAGCTCAAGAACGGAAGACTGGTGCAAGGGGTTTAAAATCTATTTTAGTATGAGTTTTTTTTTTTAATTGTAAATCTTAAGTTACGATAACTTTTTTTTACAAATAGTATAAGTAAATAGTGTAAAGATAAAGTTGCACAATGCGCTGCTTACGCATTAGTTATTTTGTATTATAGTTTCATATATTAGTTTTAGGTATTTTGTTGTTGAGTGCCAACCCTGAGCGTACTAGATTACTTTGTTTAAACTATTATTTTATACAAAGTTAGTTATGGTTTAATATTGAGATTTATGCTAAAGTAATGTAGTAGCAAAAGCTGGTCAGTTTTATCTAAAGAAGCATATGGCAAAGTGATATTAGTAACAAAAGCTTGTCAGTTTCTCTCTTAAGAAACATTTTATTAGTTGAATTGGTTTATAATAAAAACTTGATTTAAAAATACTTTTACTAGATACATTTCTACAGACGGATTTTGTTCTTATTTTACATAAAAGGTTTTCATATTAAGTCAGAACCTGATAACATTAGATACTCTATGTTATTTAACATAATATTTTCCGTGTAGGTGATCGTTGGTAAGAAACGCCGCAATATTTTTTCATTGTTTTTTTATTTTTTTTGTAAAAAATTCAATGAAACAAAATAACTTTATATAAACTAATTATAACATAAAAAATAACATCTTTTTTTAAATTTAATTAAGTTAAGTAATAAATTATTATAAATATTTTATTATTTATATTATAAATAAGATATAAATGGTTAATTTATAAATAACACTTTGCATTACACCTGTGTATACATACTGTTTTAGATAATACAACTTTCATTTGTAGGAAAAAATTTTGTTGGATCCGATGTTTGATGCCCCTGGATCAGAAATTTCTGCTGTTTATATTGATGAAGATACCGTTACAGGAAAAAAAAAACCTGGTTATGAAACACGAGACATTAAAGAAAACGTCCATGATCAGAACGCTGAAGAAGATGTCGTCATAAAAGCTTCTTCTTTTTTGTAATTGATCCAATATATCCAAATATTTTTATATGTTTGTGTTTGTATATTGAGTTTATTATAACTGGTTATAGAACACAATCATGTTTATTAGGTTTGTCATTATGTTGATAAAATCATTTTGATAGATTCTTATATTATTCCTTATTTCTTTTTGTAAAACAACCATTGTATATCGTTTGGTATTTTAGCAGTGTAAATATTTCATATATAACGGGTTGTGTGAAAGTAATTAAAAACACTTTGTATATGCTTAATAAAAACAATCAAAAATACAATGTAAAATTTGAAAACTATAAAGAAAATTTTTAAAAAATAATTCTAAGACATGTCTGGAAGTATGGTTTCTAAAAGTCTCGTAATATAAGTTATGCAAATGATTGATTTCTTAAGAATTTTGCCGTCATTCTGTCATACTCTTGCAGGGGTATTCAAAAGGTTCCTTATGCTAGGAAATTTGCGAGGCCAGTTTTAAAGAAAAAGGTTTACTAAAGGTTTTTTAAACAAGGCAATTATTATTTTTGCTCATGCAATAAAGTTTATACGTACACTTATACCGGGAAATTCGGTGGGTGTTACCTCTCATAATATGCATCGATATATTTATATACGACTTCGTTCTTCATAGAGTAAGCGAGTTTATTTAAAAAAAATAAAACTTAAGGTGGTACACCATCAAATATTCAATAATTTTAAGAATTTCGAAAATGCAAATTATTATATTAATACAAAACACATCAGTGAGAATGCTATTTTATATTTATTTCGCCAATTTTCAGACATTTCAGTTTCAAGATATTAGGCCGGGTGAGTAAAATAAAGCAATTGCTTTTACTCAGTAATTGGTCAGCTTTATGCGAATAAAAATTTGTACAATACTGCCTAAGTTTATATTCATGTAAAACTGAGCAATTATTGAGTAAAAGCAATTGCTTTTTTTTATTTACCCGGCCTAGGTGAATAAAAAAAAGCTGTTTCTAAAATTTTTAAGTAAAAGCAAAAATTAAGTAAAAGCAAAAAGTTGCTTTTACTCAATGTTCTTGGAGTAATTGCTCAGCTTACAAAAATAAAATACTTATTAAAATAAATTATTCAAAAAACGTCAAACCAATTGTTTGTTTTTTTAATCATCCGGGCTATAAATAATTATAATAACTTTTTTTGTTGTTGTTGTTGAAAAGTTATATAAATAACTTTTCAACAAAAAAAAAAATATATATTTTTCTGAAAATTGAGCAGAGAGATAAGAGCCAAATTTTAAGATTTTAAAAACAATAATGTTGCGCTAATCAAATAATATTCTATCGTTATACTTATAACGTATCTGGTTCTTGTTGGATAAAATGTTAAAGTAAATTATGGCTGTCTCGTTCTCTTGCAGTCAGTTGTCAAACATCAACAGAATTTAGCACTCTCCTTATCTATTTCTCAACAACTGTTCTTTGTGTTTGAAATTTTGTGTATATTAATATTGTATATTATAAATAAATTAAACTCGTTTTACTTTTAATTCCACTTTTAAGTAAAACTACAAATAATAATAATAAAGTAATGATTAAGATGGGCTAAAATAAATCTAATTCAGAAATTTTTCCCAAGAACATTCAAAAATATTTTTATCATTGTTAAAAAGCATCCGACAATTTTTACATAACTTATTTACCTCGCTTTCACACTTTTTTAATAAAAATTAGCTCTAAAATTATTTATTATTGTTGTAGGTGTAAATTTATATACAGCGAGCAAGAAAAACATTCCACTATAATCAATCAGTCTTATAAACATTTGTTCCAAATTTTTCCCAAAACCAGAAGTCTAGTCTACTTTTGAAAGAAAGTACAGGGGAGTAGAAAGTTATTTGCTTAGGTAGTTCATTCCAGTTTTATGCCGATCTATTATACAAATGATTGTTTCTTAGAAGACATTTTTGAACATGCTCACGCCTTATTTAGGATGGTGACAGCAAGTTAATAAATTTTGATATATATATCAATCAATCAATATATATATATATATATATATATATATATATATATATATATATATATATATATATATATATATATATATATATATATATATATATATATATATATATCAAGGACTACTATATGACAGGACGCGCAAATTCGAAATTTTGACGATTTCTGTAACGTTAAAAACGTGGAAGCGTTTTTGACGCAACAGTAATATTTTTTGAAAATCTCTTTCATAATGCCAAACAAATGTGGAATTGTGAATTGTAAAGGAAATTATAATGAACTTAATAAGTGTTGTGTTATTGAATTACCTAAAGATGAAGTTGAGAAACATAAATGGATTAACGTGCTTCCTCCACGTAAAGATTTTGATTTCTTTTGTTTGATAAAGTTCATATTCTTAAATGTTTGTGTAACAACTGGATTTCTAAAAAGTGTCAAAAGTTATCTGTTGACAATAAAACCATTTGTTCTTCTTCTGATGTCTAAAACCTATAACAATTATGAAAAAGATAATATTTTGAAATCAGTTCATATATCCCTGCTGTTTATCCTTCTAGACTTCAGCTACAGATTGTGCAACATGTTTTAAATATATTTAATGAGAAAGTAGTAGCTGCATTGAAACTAAAAGGAGCTAATAAAACATCCTTATTTATTCAGCAGGTTTTAGATTGGTGGAATATTGTTAATGTTTCTGCAAAAGGGCAAAATATTAGACTAAGAGACCACAACCGATCTGTGCAAGATAAAAACTCGAATAATCTCCAAATATTTTTAGAACTATTTAAATCTATGAAATCAGGGCATGGATCCAAACGAATTCAATGTGTTACCCATGATACTAAAAAAGCCCTTGTGCAAACCACTGAATGATTGATAGCTGTCTGCAAGCATTTGTTTTCAGTCGGTTTTGATTACGTCTTACTTCGTGAGTTACAAAGTGACAGATTTGATGGAGAATTTTCTGTTTACAGACAATCAACAGGGGCAAATGCTTTTATGGCAGCTTGGGATGTTTTTTCTGCTTTTAAAGCAAAGCGTTTAAATCGATTTGCTGCAGCGTTTCTAGAATTAGTGGAAGTAGTACAACCCAATAAAAAAGATCACACATGTGAAAGTCCAATCAGTTTCGAAGATGCGACTTCAATTGAAATTTGCATTTATGATATGAGACTTTCAGAAACTGAAGAGAGCTCTGCTGCTAATGTGGCAGAATGGATGGAGAAAAAATGTGAGGGTGAACTAGTTTATGCTGAGGATGAACCTGACAAAGTCTTTAGCTTCATTTGTTAGTATAGGTTCATCATCAAGTATTATTAACTTTCAATTATTCTCGTGAAGAGGTTTCACGAGAATATTTGACTGTTCCCGATTTTTGACTGTTCCTCGTGAATGTATTTATCAGCTTGTTAGAATTGGGTTATACTTTGTGAAAAAAACTAAACGCAGAGCATGTTGTAGGAAAAGACTTATAAATATTCTGTCTATAATGGATACATAATATGATTTTGTTTTATCATCAAAAAATCTTTATAGGCGTTTGGCTAATGTTCTTTTGCATGGAATTTCATAATTTGGAAAAAGACCAAGCAAAAAATAGCATGTCTTTATAAGACATCAATTAAAAAAGAACGCCTTGCCGAGTAATATTTATATATAAACTTTATTAACTTGTGTTTGTTGTTAATTTACTTATAGAGTTTTATATATATATAAAATTTAAAGCAAATTAACAAATAAAAGTATACTAACTTTTTATTCTTTTTAAAAAGGTTTTATAGTTTTTATTAATTATTACTTTGTCATTAAGTTTTTAATAATACTAACTTATATTCACTGTAAAATTATTTTATTAATATTAGTTTTACAAAACATTTTTTGGTTGAATTTAATTTTATAAGCGTTTAGTAAGAAGTATTTAATAACCTTCGATAGCGAAGTCAGAAAATCGAGTTTGCGCGTCCTGTCATATTGTAGTCCTTTATATATATATATATATATATATATATATATATATATATATATATATATATATATATATATATATATATATATATATATATATATATATACATGGGCACTCGCAAAGGGGGCAAGAAGGGGCACTTGCCCCCCTCCCTGTATTTTCTAAATACAGAAAAAAAATTTCTTGTTTGTAACGTTCTTTATGCCATAAAGTTTGTTACTAAGTTTTTCTGTAAAAAATATCTTTTAGTGATACTTCGTTACAGTTTCGGAAAAAACCTAATTAAGTTTTTTCCGAAATAATTGCTTATTTGTATGAAAAACACGATATTTTTCAATCTTAGCATGTTTCGTAGTTTACACACTACATTTTCAAAACGGTGCTGACAAGTTTAAATTGTCTTCTTTTTTCCACGGACATATAATTTTTTTCTTCTCTTTATTTTATATCTTACATATCTTGAATTTTACATAATAGATAACAGGAAAAAAAGCAATAACAAAAAATGTTTTGCCCCATCCTTAGAAAATTTTCTGCGGGCGCCTATGTATATATATATATATATATATATATATATATATATATATATATATATATATATATATATATATATATATATATATATATATATATATATATATATATATATATATATATATATATATATATATATATATATATATATATATATATATATATATATATATATATATATATATATATATATATATATATATATATATATATATATATATATATATATATATATATATATATATATATATATTTATTTATTTATATTAAATGAATAAAAACAACTTTTGATGGAACTCTGAGTTTCATGCCTTTCGGCAATCATCAGCCATTGTGTATTTCGTCACTTAAAAACCGATTAAAAATTACAAATTAAAATTACGGTGGAACGAGTTCTGACCACTGATCTCTATAATAATATTATAGAGATCAGTGGTTCTGACGTTACCAAACATAAAAAAACAAAACAAAACAAAAATACGTCAAAGGTTTTAGTCCCCGGTATCAAATAAGGATAGTAAAAACTTTTTTGAATGCCGGCACTTTGATATTATTTCATATCTTTTATTAAGTAAGTTTTCTCCTTTATATGATAATATGTGAAACTTCTCGCGGAGACAAAGATTACAAACTTTTGATGCTTGATTGTAGGG